AAAACTTAGCCAAATCGATACCTCCATAAAAATAAAGATTCAATTTTGGTGATACGAGACCATGATTAATCTATAAAACCTTTGATGTAGTAAGATTTTCAAGTTTCATCTCCTTCAGAAATCACATCTATAACAAAACTCTACAATAGTATTACGCATGTCCTATTAAACGCTCCATCAATTATCTTGGAACTCATTATGCACCAATCCAAGGTTTAATTTCAAATGCTAATAGACGAAGTAGTCCCCATTTGTTTTTTTTTTTCTTTTGGCAAATCACTATAGAACAAAGAGTTAAAAACGCTAATCGAATCGTTGAATGATCAAGCAACCATTTCTTCAACATGAACATTATTCTCGAGCTTCTTGGTGACCAGTTTGTTGTTTGCCTGGTCAACATCGATAAAAATAGTGTCTTCCTCTACAAAATCTCTTTTCAAAACTTTCAATGCGATCTCCTTCTTCACCATATCTTCAATCATTCTCTTTACCGGTCTTGCTCCATTGTTGGGGTCAAACCCAAGCTGAGCAAGAAGGTGTACCGCTTTCTTTGTGTACTCAAGATTTATTCTAATCTGTTTCAATCTATTCTTTACTCGTCTCATCTGCACCAAATTAGTAATATAGTTTTACGGATTGAAGAATAAAGATTCTGAAAACGAAATACAAGAAAAGTTGGTGTACATTACCTGAAACTCGACGATTTTGGAGATTTCACTTAAATCCAACGGCTGGAAAACAATGTATTCGTCAATTCTATTCATGAACTCTGGCCTGAAAGTTTGTCTTGCTGACTCCACAACTTTTTGCTTCATCATCACATAAACAGCTTCTTTGCTACTACCTTCATTGTTGCCAAGAGTCTCGAGTATGTGGTGAGATCCTATATTAGACGTCATTATCACAAAGCAGTTTGTGAAATTTACTGTCCTTCCATGAGAATCAGTTATTCTTCCCTCGTCTAGTAGCTGTAGAAAGATATTGAAGACATCATGGTGCGCTTTCTCGATCTCATCAAACAGAACCACTGAATATGGTCTCCTGCGAACAGCTTCGGTTAATTGCCCACCTTCGTCATAACCAACATAGCCAGGAGGTGCACCAACGAGCCGTGAGACTGTGTCTTTCCATGTGCCCACTCATATCGAACCTCACCATTGCATCTTCAGTGTTGAAAAGGTAACCAGCGAGAGCCTTGGCAAGCTCGGTTTTGCCAACACCTGTTGGACCCATGAACATAAAACTGGCTAGTGGGCGGTTAGGATCAGAAAGACCAGCCCTTGAACACCGGACAGCATCTGCTACTGATTCTACAGCACTGTCTTGACCAACTACTCTCTTGTGAAGCTCTTGTTCCAACATGACCAGCTTTTCTCTCTCTGATTGCTCAAGATTCGATACTGGAATACCCGTCCACTTGCTTACTATCTTTGCTATGTCAAGACCGGTAACCTCTTCTAGGAGTAGCGACTGTTCAAGCTCTCGGGGATTCGCGAGATTCTTCTTCTCAGTTTCTTCTAACTGGCGTTGGAGGGACATAAGTGTTCCATACTGCTCATCAACACAGTTTTGATCATATTCGCACATACAGCAGATACAATTTCCTGGTTCACTCTATCTATCTGTAAAACATAAAACATATATGTCTAAGGTTGATATATATACAAACATAAGCAACCACCACTAGGTAGTACTGTATCAAGTAGACAAGAAACTGCAATGAGGAAGACAGATTTTACCTCTTCTTTAAATGAACGTATAGACTTTGCTTCCTTCAACTGGTCACTGAACTCTTTCTGTTTTTCTTTGAGCGTGGTCAACTTATTATCAAGATACTGTTGCCTTTCTTTAGAAACTTTATCAGTATCGTTTTTCAAAGAAAGCTTCTCCATCTCCAGTTCGGTGATAGCTCTGTCTAGTTCATCGAGTTCAGTGGGTTTAGAAGCGATCTCCATCTTCAGCTTTGCAGCAGCTTCATCAATAAGATCAATAGCTGAAACGAACAAGTTTCATCTTCAGAAACAATGCCATTCTCTAGGCCAAGAAAAACTGGTAAAGAACCAGGGGAAGTTGCAAGTGTATACATACCTTTGTCTGGGAGAAAGCGTTCAGTGATGTAGCGGTCAGCGAGAACCGCTGCTGAAACAAGGGAACCATATGATATCTTAACACCATGGTGTAATTCGTACCGCTCTCTTAACCCACGAAGAATCGAGATGGTATCTTCAACAGATGGCTGACCACATAACACTTGCTGAAACCTACGCTCCAGAGCTGGATCGTTCGATATGTGTTTGCGGTATTCGGTCAGTGTAGTTGCACCAATGCATCGCAGTCCACCTCGTGCAAGCATTGGTTTCAACAAGTCTCCACAAGTAGAACCTACACAGGGGAGATAATATTCACTAGTTTTCATCCTAGCAGCAACAAAACATTGGCGCTGCAATGTTGGTATGATGACAACTGACAAGTAAAAGCATTTAGATAGAGATCCTCGCATCAAAACCATTCAAAGAAAACTAATGAAAGGGCACCTACCTGGACGAAAAAGAGTGTGGATTTCATCAATGAACAAGATTAGCTGCCCATTGGAAGCAGTTACTTCATCTAGTGCAGGTTTCAACCTTCGCGCAAATTCTTCCGTATACATGGCACCAGCAAGCAGTGAACCCAAGTCGAGAGAAAGCAACTACATTATAAAGCAACCAAGCCAAGCATATGTTAAAAGCTTCCTCAAAGGTAATTTAGCCAATTTAACAGACTTAAGGTAATAGGAACCTTGCGATTCAAGAGAGGTTCAGGGACATCCCCTCGTACAATTCGCCGTGCCAATCTGAAAAGGTTTAAAATCTATAAGTAACTTTTGTCATATGTTTCAGAGATACAATTAATTACAAGCCCTTTACCACTCAACGCCGAATTTCATCATTCCGTCCAATGACAGGATCGAGATTTCCTTGTCTAGCCATCTCAGTTAAATCACTTCCATAAAGATAACCACCATCCTTGTTGAAAGAGAAACCAATGATAATCGACTTAACAATCAGCCTAAACGACAAAATGAATCAGCATCGACCAGTAACGATGAGCTAAACTGAAAATCCACATGTAACCAAACACGAACCAGATCTGCAGTATACGAGAAACAGCGCGGAGAAGGGAACTGGAAAGGGAAAAGATGTAACAGTTGGCCATGAGAAGCGAATCCATTTCCGCAAAAGAAAAGGATTGGAGGCAGAGATAGGGCAAGAACGGAGAAGAGAGGACCTAGAAAAAGCATAGTGCACCTTGATGGCTTTCGAGAATCTCCTGGACGCCATGTCAAGCTGAACTGAACGAGGAAATTTTGTTCTAAGGTTTCGAAAACAGGTTTTAGGATGTTTGGAGAAGAAGCAAACAAGTGTGAAGAAAGAATCCTTTATTCAAA